ACTACGTCTACCTGGGACACACCTGACGGGGCAGGACCCTGAGGGGGAAGAGGGTCTACTGGGGGAGGACCTGGTGCAAGGAAGAGCGGCGGCGGGGGGAGGGGCGCATTGCGGTAGGGGAAGGGACGGTAGTAAGGCACCGACTCGTCAAAGGTGACGTCCTGGGAGGACAGAACACGGCGCGAGGTGGGGTGGTAAAACTGCCAACCAGGCGCGTCAGGGGGGAAGCCAAGGAAGACGCAGGGAACAGCACGGGGGGACAGTTTGTCTGCAGACAAGTCGCGGACAAACGCCTGAGATCCCCAGACACGAAACGCAGACGCATTGCCAACCTTCCCCGTTTACCGCAAGGTGGGGGAGGTCTCTGACAAGGAGACCCAGGGCTGAAGGTTGAGTTGATGCAGCCGCGTACTAAACCGCAAACAGCCACAGAAAATGGGGAGCAGCCGCATGGATCATGGACGTACGAGCGACGTCCATGACCATGCCAATGCGGCGCTCAGCAATCCCATTTTGCTGTGGAGAGGCCGCAAGCGTGAAGGTCAGGCGGATGTCCTGTGCACGACAGAAAGCTCCCAGACGGGCAGAGGAAAACTCCCCGCCTCTGTTAGTGTGCAGACGTAGAACAGGAAAGTCCGAGCCGAAACTCTCTCTGAGCTGGAGACGAGCAGCGCGGATCCAGTCGATCAACACCTCAGTGACGTCACCCTTGCTGCGCAAGGGGAACACCGTGGTGTAACGCGAGTAGTCGTCAACCACCAACAGGAAGTAACGCTCGTGACCCTGGCCACGGACGCGGGCGGGGCCCCACACGTCCATGTGAAGACTCTGCAAGGGAGCCTCTGTCGGAGGAAACTCGGAGGAGTGAGGGGTGGCGCGCTGCCGCCCCTCGACGCAGGGAACGCAGGTAGGGGCAGGCCTTGGAGGGAGGGGAGGGAGGGACCGGGGGAGACCAGAGACAAGGACACGGGAGGCCATGCCTCGGAGACGAGGCAGGGAGGGGTGGCCAAGGCGGTGGTGCCAAAGGAGAGTCTGGTGGGACAGGAGACGACACGAGCAGGGAGCAGACTCAGGACCAGACCTGGACGCTGCAGCAAACACCTGACTCGACGCAGCAACTGGAGGAGACTCAGTAGTCAGTGTGTACAGGCTCGACCCCGGCCGACGAGTAAACGTGGCCAAGTGTCGGCCCGTCTGAGCACACGTACAGTGGGTCACCCGCTGATTCGCAGGAGTGAACTGGTCAACCCCCCCATCCTATAGATCAGCACCACTCACAAAGTTCGTAGAGAACGAGGGGAGGTAGAGACCTGACAGGGTGCCAGAGGGGGCTGCCGGACACGGTAAGACAGTGGAGAAGCGAGCAAGGACAGGACCCTCAGAGGGGTCCGCCAGGGAGACCGCAACCGGCCGACTAAGCGGCATAAGCGTTGTGCGGTCTCGAAAGAAGGAGCGGGAAGCACCGGAGTCAAGGTTGAAGGTGTGGAAGGTTTGAGCCAACGTGGTACCTGTGAGAGCAGACTCACCAGACGTACTAGCACCTAGAGCAGCAGCCTCACCAGCACCTAGAGCAGCAGTCTCAATGCCCGGGTCAGGCGGAACACACAGGTAACAGTCACCCTCATCACTATTAGACACAGCATACATGGCAGCAAGGTCAGGGAACAGGTACGGCAGCATGAGGCGGCTAAGAGCAGCAGTGGCAGGGGAAGAGTAGCGTGCAACTATAGCGTCGTACAAGGTCTTAGCACTCTTGTACTGACTAAAGTGCGCACGCTCAGCGATCGGTAAGTGGCGACGCACAGCAAGATGGGCAGCAGCATCGCGTGTGGCCCTTTGTGAGCGAACAGTGCTTTCAGCATCAGGAGGCGGGGCAGGAGAGGCACCAGAGGTGAGATCGAACAGGGAGAGTCCGTCTGCCCTATCGCACTGTACGAAGAGCTGGAGGTCATCGACCGAGACCTCAAAGTCAACAGCACGACCCTCAGCATCAAATGTAAGGACACTGGGGGTAGCCATGACAGCAGTGGTCTAGCAGGGAGTGCTCTCACCTGTCCAGGTGGGTAGGGCCGGGGCGCGCCGGTAGGAACAGTAGCAGCTCGACGGCGGCTCGGTGGCAGCGGCTTGGTAGTGGCGGCTCGACGGCGGCCTTGGCGGCTCGGCGACTCGGTGGCTCGGCGGTTCGGCTGCTGGGCGGCTCGGCTGCTGGGCGGCTCGGCTGCTGGGCGGTTCGGCGGCTCGGCGGCTCGGTAGCTCAGCGGCTCGGCTGCTTGGCGGCTGAAGGGGCCATGAAGGGCGGCGACGGGGCCGCTAGAGGCGGCGACGGGGCCGCGAAGGGCGGCGACGGGGCCGCTAGAGGCGGCGACGGGGCCGCGAAGGGCGGCGACGGGGCCGCTAGGGGCGGCTACAGGGCCGCGAAGGTCGGCGACGGGGCCGCAAGGGGCGGCGACGGGGCCGCTAGGGGCGGCGACTGGGCCGTTAGGGGCGGCGACGGGGCCGCTAGGGGCGGCGACGGGGCCGCGAAGGGTCCGCGAGGGGCCTAGAGGGGCGGCGACGGGGCCGCGAAGGGGCCGTGAGGGGCCTAGAGGGGCGGCGACGGGGCCGCAAAGGATGACGACGGGGCCGTATGGGGTGGCAACGGGGCCGCTAAGGGTGGCACAAGGGGCCGTCAGAGGGGCCTCTAGGAGGGCGCGACAGGCCACTAAGGGTGGCCAATGGGGCGCGCCTCGGGCAGGGGCGACTCGCGCTACGGTCAGAAAAAAAAAAAATGATTTCAGTTGTGGGCCCTGAGAAGCGTTCCCACTAGGGAACCTGCTCTATACCATGTTAACAAATGAGGAATGAATGAACTAGCAAGCAGGTGGGTACAAATAGGAAACCTAGAAATGTTGTACCCTATAGTGTCTACCCCACTACAGCCTAGATAGACCATAGCATATGAGTTTGACACTGCACATGTTTAAGAAGACCCAGTTTTATGAAGCACGTTGGCATGGCAAGAACATAAAACAAGCTTTCTCAATATGAATTTTTTTTAAGTGTATAACACTTTCTAAAAATGTGTATTGTGAAAGCGCAACTGCGAATTTACAATTCGCTGAGTACATAAAGAGGGTCGGAGGCCATTTGGCCTCCATCCACGTCTTCATTCGGAATTTAGCGGTTCCATTCGCCACCCACCCATCCTAGTCGTACATTTGTACTGTATATATAATATTTGGACAATACTGTTGTAATGACTACAATTGTAATGAAGCACGTTGCCTTTCTAAGAACAGAAAACAAGCTTTCTCAATACCCTCTTTTTGCAAGGGTAACTGGGAAAAATCGGGCGCCCATCAAGGCCAAACGGGTATTTTATCCTAATATTTTGGGCCATACTAGGGATCTATGTGCTGTGAAACCATGTCTGAATCATGAAGCACAAATGAGTTGACTATGAATGAAGGAGAAACAGGTACCGTATTCTCCCGGACATAACACCCTAGGGTATATCTAAAAATACAGGAAAAAAAATGGGGGGTGTCTTCTCATAGGAAAAAGCTACATAATACACGGGTGCATATACATGGTATATTTAGTGCTAGAGTTTATTTTTATTGAACAACTTGAGTGTTTCCATGGTCGTTTTAACATCACATGTTGAGACGCGAATGTGAGTTTCGAAGCGAACGTCATCACCCCCTCGGAAATGCCATGTGGCACCTCTCTGCCCACTTGCAGTGAAATATTCTCCAGCGCGTGGTGACAGGGAGCTAATGGGCGGGGGAAAATCTCGGCAGATCTGAAGTGAAAGAACTACGAGATTTAATCGGAGGGATTTTCGCGATACCTATCAGAACTATGCTGTAGGCTGTAGTGGGGCACTCCTTATGGGGTACAGTCCAATTAGTTTTTGTTATACAAACCCTGTACTGTTGTGTTTCTAGTTATTCTTCATTCCTAGTTGTCAGAACTATGTTGTAGGCTGTACTGGGGCACTCCCTATGGGGTACAATATTGCTAGGTTTTGCCTATACAAACCTTGTACGGTCCTGTTTCTAGTCATTCTCGTTTCATACTTCGTGACATGGTTTCAGAGCAAGTTCCCTAGTGGGAACGTTTTTTTTAGGGCCCGCCGTGTTAGTAACTTTTTTTTCCTGCCCTGCCCAAAGCGCGCATCGCGCTCTGCCCTACTACCGCCGTAGCGGCCCTACCCTTTCGGCGCGTCGCGCCCTTAGCAGCCCGCCCTGGCGTCGCGGCCCTTAGCGGCCCGCCCTTAACAGCCCGTCGCCGCCCTGCCGCGGCCCGCCCTTCCGCCCTTCGCGGCCCGCCCTGCCGCCCTTAGCGGCCCGTCGCCGCCCTTAACGGCCCTTAGCGGCCCGCCCCGTCGTCGCGGCCCTCCGCGGCCCGCCTACCCCGTCCTCTCTGCCCTCCGTGGCCCGCCCGCCCCGTCGTCGCGGCCCTCCGCGGCCTGCCCGCCCCGTCGTCGCGGCCCTCCGCGGCCCGCCCGCCCCGTCGTCGCGGCCCTACCCTACCCTGCCGCGGCCCTGCTTTGTCGCGGCCCTACACTGTAGCAGCCGCCCGGTTGCCGCCCGGCCCTGCAGCCTCGTCGCGACCCCCTGCCGTGCCAGCACGTCGCGGCCCCTGCCCTGCCTGACGCGCCCTGCCCCTGCAGTCGTGTCGCGGCCCTGCTTGTCGCGGCCCCTCCCCCGCCGGCGCGCCACGGCCCTGCCACACCAGTTGCGGCCCTTCCACCCCTCCCGCTTCCTCGTAAGCACACTGCCGCGGCCGCTCCGCCCTGCCGAGCCGCACCGCACTGCCGAGCCGCGCCGCCCTGCCGAGCCGCGCCGCCCTGCCGAGCCGCGCCGCCCTGCCGAGCCGCGCCGCCCTGCCGAGTCGCGCTGCTACGCCTGCTGCTGCTACTAGAACTACTGCTACTGTCCCTACTATCATGGCTACCCCTAATGTGCTTACCTTCGATGCTGAGGGTCGAGTAGTTGATTTCGAGGTCTGGGTCAATGATCTGCAGCTGTTTCTGCAGTGCGACTCTAGAGACGGAGTCTCACTGTTCGATCACACGTCCGGCGTCTCTGTTGCACCTGCTCCCGATGCTGACAGGGTAGTTCGCTCGTAGTGGACCACGTGCAATGCTGCTGCTCCTCTTGCTGTTCGTAGTCACCTACCGTTAGCTAAGCGCGCGCACTTTAGTCAGTACAAGACGGCTAAGACGCTGTACGATGCAGTTGTTGCGCACTACTCCTGCCCTGCCACTGTTGCCCTTAGCCGCCTCATGCTACCGTACCTGTTCCCTGACCTAGCCGCTTTTACCACGGTCTCAAACCTCATTACGCACCTCCGCACTAGTGACACCCGCTACCACGCTGCGCTTCCCCCCGAGTTTTGCGCCGCCACCCCCCCCCCCCCCCCCCCCGATATACATCACCCTCTACTACCTAGTCACCCGGCTCCCTGACTCCCTTCGCTCGGTCAGGGACCACTTCCTATCACTTTGCCCCACCACACTCACCGTTGGCCTCCTCGAGGAGCGCCTCCTTGCAGCTGAGAAGAGTATAGTCGCTCTAGGGGCCTCTCGTGGTGACCCTCGTGCCCCTTTCTTTGAAGGGTGCTCCCCCGTCCCCCATTTCCACTATGTTGCTTCTGCTGCTGTTGTCGACCTCGTTGGCACCGACTCGGTCGGCGCTGCGTCTGCTGCCAGTGGGAGGCGCCACAGCGGCAGGGGCAAGGGGGGCAAGGATGCTGAAGGAGACGGCGGGGGCGGCGGTGGTGGCGGTGGAGGCGGCGGAGGGGGTGGGGGTGGAGGTGGGGATGGTGGCGGGAGGGGGGCTTCGGTGGCGGCGGTGGAGGTGGAGGCGGAGGCGGTAGCGGCGGTGGTAGTGGTGGCGGCGGTGGTGCTGGTTGGGGTGGCGCTGTGCAGCGGGAAGGCTTTGGTGTTGGCCAGCGCCAGCAGCAGCAGCGTTCTCGTGAGACCCTGTCGCCCTAGCAGCTTTGTGAGTGGGACGCTGGGCGTGGGAGGTCTAGGGTTGCTGGTCCTTGTGCTTACGTTCTCCGCACCGGCGAGCGCAGTGGGGAGAGGTGCGGAGGACCGCACGCCACACACCGCTGTTTCGGCCGCCTGACGGACGACTGGCGTACACAGTTTCCAGACGCCGCTGAGCTCCCTCGCTAGGGTGATCTGCTTAGGTTGGGGGTTGCTATCTTTGATCTTGATTATGATGCTATCCTTGCTGCTATGTATGCTGTGACTATTAGTGCTGAGGGTGACTGTTACCTGTGTGTTCCGCCCGACCCGGGCATTAAGGCTGCTGCTCTGGGTGCTAGTGAGTCTGCTGCTAGTGCTGGTGAGTCTGCTCTCTCAGGTACCGCGTCGGCTCAGGCCTTACACACGTTCACCCTTGACTCGGGTGCTTCCCGCTCCATTCGCGACTGCACCACACTCTCACCGCTCAGTCAGCCAGTGGCAGTCTCCCTGGCTGACCCCTCTAGGGGTCCGGTCCTTGCGCACTCTTCCAAGGTTCTGCCGTGTTCGGCGGTCCTGTCTGGCTCTCTGTCTGGCCTCCAACCCCCCTCGTTCTCCATGAACTTGGTGAGTGGAGCTGACCTTCAGGACGCGTGGGTTGACCAGTTCACTCCTGGAGGTCAGCGGGTGACCCACTGTTCGTGTACTCGGACGGGCCGGCACCTGGCCACGTTCACCCGTCAGCCTAGGTCGAGCCTCTACACCGTGACTACAGAGTCTCCTCCACCTGCTGCGTCTGGTCAGGTAGCTGCGCCGGGTCAGGTATTTGCTGCAGCGTCCCGGTCTGGTCCTGAGTCTGCCCCCTGCTCGTGTCGCCTCCTGTCTCACTAGACTCTCCTCTAGCACCACCGCCTTGGTCACCCCTCCCTGCCTTGTCTCCGAGGCATGGCCTCCCGTGTCCTTGTCACTGGTCTTCCCCGGTCTCTCCCTCCCCTTCCTCCGAGGACCGGCCCCTACCTGCATTCCATGCGTCGAGGGGCGGCAGCGCACCGCTCCTCACTCCTCTGATTTCCCTCCAACAGAGGCCCCGCTGCAGATGCTTCACATGGATGTGTGGGGCCCAGCCCGCGTCCGTGGACAGGGTCACGAGCGCTACTTTCTGCTGGTCGTTGACGACTACTCGCGTTACACCACAGTCTTCCCCTTGCGCCGCAAGGGTGAGGTGACTGAGGTGCTGATCGACTAGATCCGCGCAGCCCGGACCTTCCTGTTCTACGTCTCCACTCCGACAAAGGTGGAGAGTTTTTCTCCGACCTTCTGAGAGCCTTCTGTCGTGAGGCAGGCATCCGCCAGACGTTCACGCTTCTGGCCTCCCCACAGCAAAATGGGATTGCTGAGCGCCGCATTGGCATGGTCATAGACGTCGCTCGTACGTCCATGATCCATGCGGCTGCTCCCCATTTTCTGTGGTCGTTCGCGGTTCAGTACGCTGCGCATCAGCTCAACCTCCAGCCCCGGATCTCCATGCCGGAGACCACACCTACTCTTCGGTGGACGGGGAAGGTTGGCGATGCGTCTGCGTTCCGTGTCTGGGGATCGCAAGCTTTCGTCCACGACTTGTCTGCGAACAAGCTGTCCTCCCGCGCAGTTCCCTGCGTCTTCTTTGGCTTCCCCCCTGACGTGCCTGGTTGGCAGTTTTACCACCCCACCTCGCGCCGTGTTCTGTCCTCTCAGGACGTCACATTTGACGAGTCAGTTCCTTACTACCGTCTATTCCCATACCGCACTGCCCCCATCCCCCCCCCCCCCGTCGCTCTTCCTTGCTCCAGGTCCTCCCTCGATAGACCCCCTCCCCCCTCAGGGCCCTACCCCCGCAGGTGTGTCTCTGGTAGACGCGGTCGACCGTGTTGAGGTAGCTATTGACTCTGGTGCTGCTAGGGGTGCTGAGCCTGCGGGTGCCGGGTCTGGGGGTGCTGAGCCTGAGCATGCGGAGTCTGGGGGTGCTGAGTCTGGGGGTGCTGAGCCTGGGGGTGCTAAGCCTAGGGGTGATGGGCCTGCGGTTGCTGAGTCTGGAGGTGTGGAGTCTGCGGGTGCTGAGCCTACGCGTTTGGAGTCTGGAGGTGCTGAGCCTGGAGGTCCTTCGGGTGCTTTGTCCCGGCGGGAGCCACTCTCTCCACAGCAGCTGCGTAAGTTGTTTGCTCGGCGCTCGAGCCGTGCTGCTGGAGCTGGTGGTGCTACGGGCGCTGGAGGTCCCGCTGCTGCTGGAGCTGCTGGGGGTTCTTGAGCCACTGGTCCCTGAGGTGCTCGTACTGGAGGTACTGGAGCTGCTGGGCCTGGTGGTGCCACTGGAACTGGAGCTACTGGCGATGCTGGTGCTGGCGGTGCTGCTGGAGGTGCTGGAGCTGGCGCTACTGGTGCTGTTGGGACTTCTGGTGGTCCTCCTGGAGCTGGAGCTGCTGGAGGTGCTGGAGTTGGCGCTGCTGGAGCTCTTGGAGGTGCTGCTAGAGCTGGTGGTGCTGCTGGAGCTGCCGGAGGTGCTGCTGGAGCTGGTGGTACTGCTGCAGTTGGAGCTGCCATTGGGGGTGCTGGTGCTGTCAATGCTGGTTCTGGGGGCACTGAGCGGTCGCGGCGGTACTTCGTTCTGCTCCTTCAGCAGGTTCTTGGTCTCCCGCCTTCTGCTGGTCCTGCTCCTTCCTTAGAGTGTCCACCACCTGTCCGGTTGCAGTCACAGCTGCAGCCCGCCTCCCCTTTGCCTGCTCCTTCTCCTTACACTGGTCCGACCGCAAGTCTTGCTGAGCGTCATGAGCCTGCGTCTCGTCCTGCGTCGCTTGTTTGTGCTGCTCGCACTAGTCGTCGTGGTTCGCGTCAGCGTCCTCAACCTATCCCTGGCATGCACCAGATGGCTCTTCGTCCTTCCACTACTCCGCAGCGTGTCCCTCTGCCGTCTCCTCCTGCGTCCTCCATTCCTGTCGGTTCGGACCTGGTGTCTGACTCCCTTCTTGCTGCTAGTCCTACTGTCACGCGTCTTCTGGCCACTGTGTTCACTGACCCTTCCTTTGAGTCTACTTCTGCGTCTGCTCTTGTTGCTGAGCTTGTCTACTTTGCTGCTCGGTGTCGTCTAGACTACCCCGCTAGTCTTGTTGCTAAGTCTGAGTCTCTCTGTCCTCCGTCCGTCGGGGGTGAGTGTGTCCTTAGCGCGGACGTCCTTGAGAACAGGCAGGAGGAGTTCCAGTGTTTTGCTGCTGCTTTACCTTATCTCGTGTCCATGCTGCTTGCCCCTGAGGGAGACCCGGATGCACCAGACATCCCGACCTCGCGCTCTTACGTAGAGGCGAAAAAGGGTCCCTACTCCTCACAGTGGCGGACAGCCATGGACGCAGAGATGGCTTCCTGGAAGTCCACAGGCACCTACGTCGATGAGGTTCTCCCACCTGGGGCGAACATTGTAGATGTCATGTGGATTTTAAGGGTGAAGCAGCCGCCGGGTTCTCCGCCTGTCTTCAAGGCGCGTTACGTAGCTCGAGGCTTCAGTCAGCGGCAGGGAGTTGACTACTTTCAGACCTTCTCTCCCACCCCGAAGATGACCACTCTTCGGGTGCTGCTGCAGGTCGCCGCTCAGCGTAACCACGAGCTTCACTCTCTTGACTTCAGCACAGCCTTCCAACAGGGCAGCCTACACGAGGAGATCTGGCTGCACCGCCCACCTGGCTTCACTAGGTCGTTTCCTTCTGGTACCCAGTGGAGCCTCCGGCGGCCAGTCTACGGTCTCCGCCAAGCGCCCAATGAGTGGCATGACACACTGAGGACTACGCTTGCGGCTCTTGGGTTTGCTCCTTCTACTGCTGACCCGTCGCTGTTTCTGCGCACCGACACTTCGCTGCCGCCTTTCTACATCCTCGTGTACGTCGACGACTTAGTCTTTGTCACTACTGACACTGAGGGACTCGCCCACGTGAAGTCGGAGCTGTAGAAGAGACACACGTGCACAGACCTGGGTGAACTGCGCAGCTATCTTGGCTAGCAGATCACCCGGGACAGAGCACGGCGCACCATTATCTTGACTCAGTCACACATGGTGCAGCTGGTCCTTCACCGCTTCAACTTCACGTACTTCTCGCCTCAGGCCACTCCTCTGTCTACTCGCCACTCGCTCTCAGCTCTGCCTTCGGATGAGTCCGTAGAGCCGAGTTGTGAGAGTATGACTTCTTATGCCAGCTATGCTTGCTTGCCTTTACTTTATTATGCTATTTCTAGCATAGGATAATTATATGCATGCATGCATTACTTGATTTCCTAAGCTAGGTGCTTTCCTATATTTTATTATAGTCATAGCACCGAGCTAGGTTGCGTGCACCGAATTCTGGCTTTTCGGTTGCCACCGAATTGCCTCCTACCGAATTCGGGAAGGATCTGTTCGGGACGCTTCGCGACCCGCGTAACCTTCGCGTAACACCTGGTTGCGGGGCCTTGTGCGAGCCTATATGTCTCTTCGTGTTGTACCCAGGTGATTCATTCAATTCATATTCTCTTTTCTGAGCTCAATCCTAGATCCTCGCACTTGGTAATCAAAGCCCGTTTTCACGCCAAGTTCTTTCGACCGCTAAAACCAGTCTTCAAAAAACCGCGAGGGTGACGCAGTCAAACATCGATTTCGGGTACGTAAAACCGGTTCCGTGTTTTTCGCTCCCCCTCGATTCGGTTTTTCGGACGCGTTGATGTCAGGCATGGAGGGCCAAGGCGACAACTACGCGACTAGGAGCGACATGGCGAGCCTCCGCACCGACATGGAGCAGACGCAGGCGACGCTTTGTCGACTCGAGGCTTTTCTGACAAGCCAACCAGGGTTCGCCACCGCAGCAGCAGCGACCGCAGCGACTGCAGCAGTGGCGACACCGATATTTCACGGACCAATGGCACCACTGTCGCCGAACCTCGAAGCAACACGACCGAGGCTCCCGAAGGCGTTCGATCCAAGCGCGAAGGGATCCGACGTCCGGCGATTCGTGGCCACCCTCGAAATTTACTTCGAGGCCATTGGCTGTTCGACCCCGCAACACGACGCAGCAAGGATTCGGCTCGCAGCGACACTGTTACGTGGACCGGCTCTCGAATGGATTTACTACACCGACGTAGCCCGCGGGGAGAAAACGTGGCAGCAGTTTCGGGTAGATTTAATCGAACATTTCGAACCAATTAATAGGACCTACATGGCACGGCAGCAGATACACCGACACAAGCAATACAGTAGTGTAGCACAGTATACGCAGCAGATGGAGTTACTGTTCAACTGCATCACCGACCCGACCGAAGGCGAAAAAATCCAGGCGTACACCGAAGGGTTAAAAATGGAGATTCCGCGGCAGGTGATTGCGGCGAATTACAACAGCTACAGAGACATCGTGCGTGCTGCCGAGCGATACGACGCGCTAACTCGAGGTCAACCCGAAACACGATGCTTCACGCCGAACCGTACATTCGGCACGGAGCGATCGGCACCCCCCACGTTCGCCGAACCGATGGATATCGACATATACGACGCGAAGCAGCGGCCGACAAAATGCGAATTTTGCGGCGCAGCAGGGCATTAGTTTTTGTCGTGCTACAAAATGATGAAAGCACGTGCGGCACTCCGGGACAGAAACAGTGGAGCACCCCCGAAGTCAAAAAACGGGAATCGCCAATAGCCGCGGATCGACCTGGCGATCGCGTAAAGATCCAAAAAGCAGAAAAAGGCGACGACGTGGCGACTTCGGAGCGGGTGAAAAAGGAGAAAATGATGGCGCGAATCTAAAACGTCACGACCGGCCGGCATCAGGGGAAATCGGCGAGGCGAATGGAGGCTCCGCGAAAAAAGACTCTGCACCGACCGGGAAACTCCAGCCGAACACCCACGAAAGTAAGAACTCGTTAAAAGTATCCTATAAAGATACTCTAACGAAGAATATTCCTTCTCGTGGTTTTCAAGCCTTTGAAAAATTCAGGGGAGGTTTAGAGGCCAAGAAAAAGCCTTAAGAAATTTTTCAGGTACCTGAGAAGTTGGGCAAAGTACTACGGAGCGTAGAAAAGGGTCGTGCGTTCCGTGGACTTAATATTCTCTCCCCGCAGCACAGTGTTAAGGCTCCCCGTTGCCCACAGATGAAGCCTACACAGCTGCCAAGGCTTAGAGGAGACATCCAGGCTCAAGAGAAATTATACAAGCCTCGGAAAAATCCTCCTACCCCCTAGGTGAAGTTGGAAAGCGCTGAGTCAAGTATAGGAAATAGGGAAGGTATTAAGTTTGATGTACCCTATGATCCTATTAATGAGACCCTCTTTGGCTACTCAGCGCAGCAGGCACCACTACTCCTCGAGGTGTTATGCAATGGGCGACGCCTCAAGGCGCTGGTGGACAGCGGTGCATCTCACTCCGTGTGTGACCGCGGAGCATTGGAGAAAATTGGAGAGGAGGCGGAAGAGACCCAGTTTTCAGCAACCATGGTGGACGGTACGAAGCTTCCTATCCACGGCGAAGCATCACTGCAGCTCCATATAGGTGCATTGAGGTGGAAGCCGAAGCTACTAGTCACCAACATCAAAGGGTTAGATTTTATCTTGGGGCGAGATTTTCTGAAGCGGTTCAACCCCGAGATCGATTGGGTCAACAGCAAGGTGTGCATCTACAACAACGGGAAGCGGATAGCACTGCGAAGCTGGACGGATACACGGGACGTACCTAAAACAACACTGGCACGGTTCGAACGGACTGTGAACGGGAGTAGCACGGGATACTTAGCACTAGTTATGGCAGCAGCAGAGGAAGAGAAGCCGAGTTCGGAGCTACCTGCAGCTGTAAAAGACGTATTGGAGCAGTACAAAAACATCATGCCCGACGACCTACCTGCACGCGTACCTCCAGCGCGCACCCACGAGCA